GGGTCCGGGCTGGGGATTCGAACCCACCACCTTAGGTGTACGTGGCTGGTGCCCTAGCCGGTTGAGCCACAGGCGCCGAGCCCCGAGCCTTGTTTTTTTTTGAGACAGGAGCCTAAGCTGTCCCCCTGGGTAGAGTACCGTGGCATCACAGCTCACAGCAACCTCCAACTCCTAGGCTTAAGTGAGTCTCCTGCCACAGGTGCCTGTCACAACGCCTGGCTATTTTTTGGTTGCAGCCGTCATTGTTGTTTGGCGGGCCTGGGCTGGATTTGAACCCGCCACCTTGGGTGTACTTTCTAACATCTTATTCTCATATTTTCTTACATATTAGAGGTACTTTCAAAAACTAGTATTTCTTGGAATGAAGAAATACTTTTACATTCAGCAATTTTGTTTCACTTTCAGCTTCTTTTTCTTATTTTGAACTGATTTTTTTTTTCTTGAGACAATAGTCTCATTTTGTTTCTCAGCTAGAGTGTGGTGGTACCAGTCTAGCTCACAGCAACCTCAAACTCCTGGGTTGTCAAGCAATCCTCCTGTATCAGCCTCCTGAGTAGCTGGGACTATAGGTGCCCACAATACTGTCCGGCTAATTTTTCTGTTGTTAGTAGACAAGGAATCGATTTGCTCAAGCTGGTCTGGAACTCCTGAGCTCAAGCAATTCTCCTGCCTCAGCTTCTCAGAATGCTAGAATTACAGGCTTGAGTCACAGTGCCTAGTCTTTAAATTGATGTTATATCAAATTTAGCCATTTTACAAAAAACCCAGCATGTATAGTACTACTCCTTAATAGGAAGCTATTTGCCAACCAAGCCTCATCCCTATATATAAACAGGAACATACTTGAATGAATCTCACTCATGGTGATTATTTCACAAAGATGCTTTTAAAAATTCATGCAGTCATCTTTGATCTTTTCTATATTGCTTCAATTTTGAACACTTATCATTTGTCTAGAAACATTCTGAGTTTGAAAACCTTGGAGTTCTTCAACAACTGCTTAAATTGCAGAAAGTGAACAAGACAACAACCAATCAAAGAAAAATTTTAACTTAAAAAAAGGTACATGGATAGCTTGAACAATTCACGGAGATGAAGTCAAAGTTGTACAATTAACAGCAGGTAAAAGAGAAATTATGAATAGTTCCAAATTACAGTTAGTCAAAGCATAGAACAAAATGTAAAAATCATACCTAGTGTTTACTAACAATATTACTATACAACTTATCTGATAGCAACCCTTGGCAGAGGCTCCTGACCAGAGGAAAAAAAACTAGATGGAATCAGACTCTATGAAGCCAAAGGTGGGGAGGTGAGACAAGAAAGAAGTTCAGCAAGCTGTAACTCTAA